ATGCAATAAAGGCCATATGTGACAAACCCATTGACAACATCATCCTTTCTTATTGAGATATAATTGATACATAACATTGTATTAGTCACAGTTACACAACATAATGATTCAACATCTGAATGTATTATGAAATGATCACCACAATAAGTCTAATTAATATCTAACACCACACAGTTACAATTCATTTCTTGTGATGAGAACTTTTAAGATATACTCTCTCAGCAACTTTCAAATAAAAAATACAGTATTATTAGCTATAGTTACCATGCTGTTCATTATGTCCTATGACATTTATTTTATAATTGGAAGTTTTTACCTTTTGACATCCTTCACCCATTTTGTCTACCCCTCAAACCTCACCTCTGGAAACTACCAATCTGTTCTCTATAGCTATAAGTTCAATTTTTTTTTAAGATTTAACAAAAGTGAGATCATATGGTATTTGATTTTTTCTGACTTAATTCACTTAATATAATGTCCTCAAGGTCCATCCATGTTGTCACAAATGGCAAAATTTCTTTATTTTTTATGGCTGAATAATATTCCTATATATATATCACATTTTCTTTATCTATTTATCCATCGATGGACATTTAGGTTGCTTCCATGTCTTGGCTATTGGAAATAATGCTTCAATGAACGTGGGGGTGCATATATCTTTTTTGAGTTAGTGTTTCTATTTCTTTTGAGTAAACACCCAGAAGTCCACTGGATCATAGGGTATTTCTATTTTTAATTTTTTGAGGAGTCTCCATACTGTTTTCCATAGTGGCTGCACCAATTTACATTCTAATCAACTTTTTATTTTGTTGATGATTTTCTTTGCTGTGCAGAAGCTTTTAGCTTAATGTAATCCCACTTGTTTATTTTTGCTTTTGTTGCCTGTGCCTTTGGTATCACCCTCAAAAATAATTGTCTAGACCCATGTCAAGGAGCTTACCATCTATGATTTCTTCTAGGAGTTTTATGGTTTATTCAAATCTTTAATGCATTTTGAGTTATTTTTTTCTGTATGGTATACAATAATAGCCCAGTTTCATTCTTTTGCATGTGGCTGTCCAGTTTTCCCAGTGTCATTTATTGAAGAGACTGTCCTTTCCCCATTGTATATTCTTGGCTCCTTTGTCTTCAATTAATTGACTATGTAGGTATTGGTTCATTTCTGGACTCTCTATTCTGTTGCATTGATTTTTATGTCTGTTTTATGACAATACCATATTGTTTTGATTACTATAGATTTGTAATATAGTTTGAAATCAGGAAGCATGATGCCTCCAGCTTTGTTCTTTCTCAAGATTGCTCTGGCTTTTCAGGGTCTTTCATGGTTTCATACAAATTTTAAGATCATTTTTTCTATTTCTGTGAAAAAAGCCATTCAAATTTTGATAGGGATTGCATTGAATCTGTAGATTGTTTTGCATAGTATGGACATTTTAACAATACTACTTCTTCCAATCCATAAGCTTGGAATATCTTTCCATTTATTTGAGTCTCCAATTTCTTTCAACAATGACTTATAGTTTTCGGTGTACAGTTCTTTCACTAGCTTGGTTAAATTTATTCCTAGGTATTTTATTATTTTTGATGCAATTGAAATGAGATTGTTTTCAACATCATAACTTAATGGTAAAAAGTTGAAAGCTTTTCCTCTAAGATCAGGAATAAGACAAGAGTGCCCACTCTCACCATACACATTCAACATAGTAATGGCAGTCCTAGTTACAGAAATCAGGCAAGATAAAGAAATAAAAGGAAGAAGTAAAATTGTCTTTATTTGTAGATGATATGTTATTATATAGAGAAAATCCTAACAATGCCACCAAAAAAACTATTAGAACTAATTAACAAATTTAGTAAAGTTGCAAGATATAAAGTCAACATTCAGAAATCAGTTACATATCTATACATTAACAATAAAATATATGAAAAAGAAATAAAGAAAGCAATCTCATTTACAATACCATCAAAAACAATAAAATAATCAGGAATAAATTTAACCAAGGAGATGAAATATCTATACACTGAAAAATATGAGACTCTGATAAAAGAAATTAAGGAAGACATAAACAAATGGAAAGATATCCTGTGTTCATAGATTGGAAATATGAATATTGTTAAAATGTCCATACTATCCAAAGCCATCTATAGATTTAATGCAATCCCTATCAAATTTCCAATAGGATTTTTCACAGAAATAGAAAAAAATAAAATAAAATTTGTAAGGAGCCACAGAAGACTGAATAGGTAAACAATCTTCAGAAAGAACAAAGTGAAAGACATCATATTCCTGATTTCATGCTATATTACAAAGCTATAGTAATCAAAACAGTATGGTACTCGCATGAAAGTAAATATATAGCTCAATGGATCTGAATCAAGAGACCAGAAATAAACTCCCACATGTATAGTCAACTAACATTTGAAAACGGAGTCAAGAATACTCAGTGGGGAAAGAATAATCTCTTAATAAATGATAATGGGAAAACTGGAAACTGCCTACAGAAAAATGACAGTAGACTCCATCTTACACCATTTACAAAAATTAACTTGAGATAGATTAAAGACTTAAATGTAAGATGTGCGACCATAAAACTCTTAGAAGAAAACATAAGATAAAAGCTCATTTATATAGGTCTTGGCAACAAATTTTTTATATGATACTAAAAGCACAAACAACAAAGGCAAAAATAAAGTGAGACTATATCAAACTGAAAAGCTTCTACACAGCAAAATAAACCATTAACAAAATGAAAAAGTAACCTACAGAATGAGAGAAAATATTTGCAAACCATATATCTGATAAGGGGTTAATATCCAAAATGTATAAGTAACTCATTAGCCAAAAACCAATCTGATTTAAAAATGAGCAGAAGACCTGAATAGACATTTTTTCCAAAGAAACATACAAATTGCTAACAGGTACATGAAAAGATTCTCAATATCATTAATCACCAGGGAAATGTAAATCAAAACCACAAAGGGATATCACCTCGCAACTGTTAAAATGGCTATTATCAAAAAGACAAGAGATAAGTCTTGGTGAGAATGTGAATAAAAGGGAACCCTGGTGTATTGTTGGTGGGAATGTACATTTGTACAGCCACTATGGAAAACAATATGGAGGTTCCTCAAAAAATTAAAAATAGAATCACCATATGACCCCACTTCTTTGTAAATATCCAAAGGAAATAAAAACAGGATGCCAAAGAAATCTCTCCCCTCCCATGTTTATTGTAATAGCAAAGACATGGGACCAACCTGAGTGTCCATCACAGATGAATGGATAAAAAGAAATGATATATATCTACTGAATTATTATTCATCCATGAGAAATAAGTTAATCTTGACATTTGTGACAGTATGGATGCTCCTTGACACTATGCAAAGTGAAATAAACCAGAGAAAGACAAATACTGTATGATATCACTTATATGTGAAATCTAAAAAAGCTGAACTCTTAGACAGAGAGTAGAATGGTAGTTACCAGGGGGTGAGAGTGGGGGAAATGGGGAGATGTTTGTCAAAGTGTACCGACTTCCAGTTAGAATATGAATATGCTCTAGGGATCTAATGTGCAGTATTGTGATTATAGATAATAATATTGTACTATATAGTTGAAGTTTTCTAAGATATTAGATATTAAATGTTCTCACCATGTAAAATAAAAGATAATTATTTGAAGTGATGGAGATGTTAGCTAACACTACAGTGGCAATTAAATTACAATATATACATGCATCAAATCAACACATCATACACCTTAAATTTACACAATGTTTATATCAATTATATCTCAATAAGGTTTGAAAAAATACAAAAAAAATAAAAAGGATTATACACCATGACCAAGTGGGATTTACCCCTGGGAAGCAAAGGGTGATTCAACATATGCAAATTAACTAATGTCATGTACCACATTAACACAATGAAAGATAAAGTAACATGATTTTCTCAATAGATGTAGAAGAAGCCTTTTACAAAATTCAACATTCTTTCATGATAAAAACTCTCAAAACACTATGTGTAAAAGGAATTTGTCTCAACGTAATAATGGCCATATATAAAAAGTCCACAGTTAGCATTAGATTGAATGGTGAAAAACCAAATGTTTGTCCTCTAAATCAGGAACAAGGCAGGATTCCTTGTCTCACCACTTTTATTGAACATGGTACTGGAAGTTCCAGCCAAAGCAATTAGACAAGAAAAAGAAATAAAAGGCATCCAAATCAGAAAGAAAGAAGTAAAATTATCTCTGCTTGAAGATGTCATTATCTCACATGTAACATATCCTAAAGATTCCACAAAAACACTGTTAGAAAAACAAATTCAGCAAAGCTGCAGGAGAAAAAAATCAACATACAAAAATTAGTTGCATATACTATGCACTAACAATGAAAAATTTGAAAAGAAAATTAAGAAAACAATTCCATTTACAGTAGTACCAAAAATAATTAAATATTTTTGAATAAACTTAACCAAGGAGACAAAAGACTTGTACACTGAAAACTACAAAACCTTGATGAAAAAATTAAAGAATACACAAATCAATGGAAAGACAGCTCCTGTTCATGGAATGGAAAACTTAATATTATTAAAATGTCCGTATAACCCAAAGTGATATACAGATTCAATACAGTCTCAGTTGAAATCTCAATGGCATTTTTTTTTACAGAAAAAGAAAAAACTATCCTGAAAGTCATATGGAACCACAAAATCCTGAGTAGTCAATGCAATCTTGAGCAAGAAAAACAAAGCTGGAGGCATCACAATTCCTGATTTCAAAGGTACAGTAGTTAAATAAGTATGGTACTTACATCAGAACAGACAAATACAGCAATGGAACAGAATACAGGGCTCAAAATGAACTGTTTTGTGCTGGTCTCAGGCTATAAATAACCAATGTTGTGACTGGACCAGCCTTTGTAGTTCTTATTATGATTCCAAACACCCTCAGCAATAAACATCAGGAAACTTTGAAACAGACAAGGTTTATTACTTGCAAGTTCTGGAAATTATATGGCACACCTGGGGCCTCACAGAGTAGTCATGGTTAGAAAGAGAAACAGGGAGCAAGCCTAGGATTTTGCTTTTATATCATTTTACAAGTTCCCTCTTCATTGCTGGATTTAAAACATGAGTGGGAATTTAAAACACAGTAAGAGAAAAAACAAGTGGCCCCAAATTGTCATTTATCTAAATCAACCATGATCTATAAAACAAAGGAGCCTCAGGTGGGAGGGGTGGCTGGCTCTTTATCTAGTCATTTGGCTGGCAATGTGTTTATTTGAGATAGCCATCTTTGAAGTGAATTCTCTTTGAAGTGGATGCCTCAGCAATCAAAGCTTAAATCAGGCACCTGCATTACAAAAAAGAAAAACCAACTGTCAGGGCTTACACTATATAAATCCACCCATATACAGTCTGCTGATCTTTGACAAGGATGCCAAGAATACTCAATGGGGAAAGATAGTCTCTTCAATACATGGTATTGGGAAAAGTGGATATTCACACGCAAAAGAAAGAAATTGGACTCTTACACCATACACAAAAATCGTCTCAAAATGATTTAAACTTAAGACTTATATATAAGACCTGGAACTGTAAAATTCTTAGAAAAGAACATAATGGAAAAACTTCATGACATTGGTCTAGGTAATTATTTCTTGGAAATGGTACCAAAAGCACAAGAAACAAAAGCAAAAATAGGTAATTGGGACTACATTAAACTAAAAAGCTTCTGCACAGAAAATGAAACAACAGAGTGAAAAAGCATCCTATAAAAGGGAAAAAATATTTGCAAACCATATACTATCTGATAAGGTGTTAATATCCAAAATATATAATAAGAACTGCTACAACTCAATTGCAAAAAAACAAATAATCTGATTAAAAATGGTTAAAGAATTTAAAAAGACATTTCTCCAAAGAAGGCATACAAGTGGCTGACAGGGATATGAAAAGATGTTCAACATCACTAATCATCAGAGGAATGCAAACCAAAACCACATGAGATATCATTTTACCTTTTAGGATGCTATTATCAAGCAAACAAAAAGGTAAATATTGGCAAAGATGTGGAGAAATTGGAACCCTTGTACGCTTTTGGTGTTGATGTAAAATGATGCATCCACTATGGAAAACAGTATGGAGGTTCCTCAAAAAAAAAAACTAAACATAGAATTATGTTGCACTTCTGGGTATATATCCAAGGGAAAGAAAATTAGTATCTCAAGTAGGTATCTGCACTCTCATGTTCATTTCAGCAGTATTCACAATCACCAAGCTATGAAAACAACCCAAATGTCAATTGATGGATGAATGGATAAATAAAGTGTGGTATACACATACAATTTTATATTATTTGGCTTTTACAAAGAAGAAATCCAGCCATATGAGACAACATGGATGAACTTGGAAGACATTATGCTAAGTGAAATAAGCCAGTCACAGAAGGACAAATCCTAACACTACATGATTCCACTTATATGAAATATCTATATAGTCAAACTTATAGAACTAGAGACTAGAATAATGGTATCCAGGGTCTCTGGGAGGAGAAAATGGGGAATTGCTGTTCAACAGGTATAAATTTTCAGCTACGCAAGATGAATATATTCTAGAGATCTGCTGTACAACATTGTGCCTATAGTTAACAGTACTGTATTGTGCACTTAAAAATTTGTTAAGAGGGTAGGTGTCATGTTAAACTGTTCTTACTACCATAAAAAGAATAAAAAGTGAAAAAATGATAACATGATTTAAATTTATTAGATTATTTAAAAGCAAAATAGTAATCAGGACAAGTCTAGTTATTTCATTCCATTGTAGTCTCCAATATGAAACGAATTTAAAAAAAATGAAGCCAATGCTAAAAACAGTTTTTTCACTCCAGCTAAGACTGCTTGTATATTAGCTGTACTAATACAATGATTTCAGGATGAAACTGACAGAATTACATGCTCTGCACACAATTAGTCTGTGTTTCACACACATAGACCATAATAATAATAGTCAGGCCATTTTAACTATAGACACAGTAATGCACTTTTCACCTTCAATGAATAATACTAGTATTTCAATATGACAAGTAAAACATATAAACACTTACAAAAGAACTTATTTTTCCAAAAATAATGACACTGTCCTTTCAAAGCATCATAAAACACTCCAGCTGAGTGTAATTTTTCACAAGAACAGATCAATTTCCTTGCCATCACAAGTATAAATTAGGAAATGTCTCCAACCACCATTTTATTTTGGGTTTTTGCTGTACCTTTTGGTTTGATAATAGTCAGACTTTGACTGAAAATATCCCAAAGGATTTCCTTTTTAAATCAGCTTTTGGTAAATGTTAGCATATCTTTTAACAGCATGTTGTTGATATGAGAAAATCCAATCTCAACCTTAAGGTACCTAAAGAGAGTGCACATTATACACTACTAATGATAACAGGCAGGGTCTTCTTTTACAATCCAAAGAACACCTAACAGTGTCTAACATTCATATTCATTCAATAAATTCATTCAATAAATATTCACTTATGATTAACAACCTGGGGTGTCTAGCTGAATATCAGCTAATAGCATTTGCTATGTAAAATGATTTACAAGTTGTCTATCTTTTGACACATGTATGCCATTCACGAAAGGTGAATCATAAAACAGTTCCAAATAATTTTAAATCCAAAAAGTGAGTTTTTTTTGTTAGGATATCACTTTTGCCACTATTGCCTTATATTTGAGAAAAAGCAGAATAAAAACATGACTTTTAATCAGTCTTCCAACTCTGCCCAAATTTTGGCATTGATCAAAAGTTTTATTTCAGAACCAAGGAGTAAATTATAGAAAAGGAATAAAAGGTCTTTCCACTTAATTTCAAGTGAAGTAGTTTGCTGGATTTGCAACTATGAAACACAGGTAAAATAAAACTATATTTTAAAAATCCATTTAAACATTGTTGCAGTAAATTAGAGGCTTATTCTGTACTCATTATATGATGATTGTTAAAGCTCAGGGAGTTAATGGGGACATATACATTATATAGTTATATATTTTGGGTTTCTCCCTTTTTTTCAGTAAGCAGATATTACTTTCAAAAACCACCTGCTAAATTCAAGCATAGATTTTTTAAAGTCTTACAGAAGTTATAATTAAAGCCAAATTAAATATATAGGCATAAATATGCACATTTGTTCTACCATTGAAGAGAAAACACAAAGAGAAATGAGCTTACCAATAATAAAAAGAACGTTATATAACACTCTAAACTTAAAAGTCCAACTGATTACTAATGTCATTAATGTTTTATTCCTATTTGTCAGCTACATTTCTTCTTCTAAATGAGTGCTGTAACTCCATATTTTTAAATATCTTTATCAGAATCTCCTTTCTGATGGATACAATATTTGTTGAGAATAACTTCCCTTGATTTCAAAGCGTATATCTACACCTTTTCAGATGTATATTTACTTCCCTTTACTGTTAATTCTCTTATTTTTTTATTTTTTATTTTTAATTGTGGTAAAAGCACAAAAAAATTAACTTCTTAACCATTTTCAAGTGTACAGTTCAGTAGTGTTAAATATATTCACATTGTTGTGTAATGAATCTCCAGATTTTTTTCATCTGGTAAAACAGAAACTCTATATCCATTAAACAGCTACCAATTTCCCCCTCTTCCCTGCCCCTGGGAAGCACTATTCTACATTTGTTCTATGAATTTGACTACATTAGATACTTAATATAAGTGGAATCATAGAGTATTTGTCTTGTCTTTTTGTGGGAAGCACTATTCTACATTTGTCGTATGAATTTGACTACATTAGATACTTAATATAAGTGGAATCATAGAGTATTTGTCTTGTCTTTTTGTGACTGGTTTACTTCGTTTAGCATAATGTCCTCAAGGTTTATCCTCGCTATAGCATGTAACAAGATTTCATTCTTTTTAAGGCTAAATAATATTCTATTGTATGTATACACTACATTTTGTTTATCCATTCAGTTGTGGATGGACATTTGTGTTGTTTCCACCTTTTGGCTATTGTGAATAATGCTGCTATGAACATGGATGTGCAAATATCTCTTTGAGACCCTGATTTCAATTCTTTTAGATATATAACCAGAAGTGGGATTGCTGGATCATAACATAATTCTATTTTTAGTTTTTGGATGAACTACCACACTGTATTCCACGGAGGCTGTACTATTTGCATTCCCACCAACAGTGCACAAAGGTTACAATTTCTCCACAATCACATCGATATTTGTTACTTAAGTTTGTTTTTTATTATACAGGCCATCCTACATTGAGGGTATAATGCAAAGTGAAATAAGTCAGAG